AATTTTACAAATTCAAGGAATTTTAAATTCTTGGTATTTGAATTACTTTGATTTCAATTTCTATCATTCTTAAAATATTTTGTTTGGATGAATCAATTTAAATTTCTTAAATTTAAAATTGTTAGGTTGAATATGATAATTTGATTCCATCATAGTAAAATTGATTTTAAAAATATATTTATATGCTGAGATTTTTAAATTAAATTTTATAAAAATAAATATTAATCCATTTTTAAATATTTTATAATTTTAAAAATTAATATTAGATAATATTTAATAATTTTAAATCTAATATAAGTTAATATTTAATAATTTTAAAAATATTTTTGAATATCCAATAATTAAAAGAATGAAGAGATAAGATAAAATATATAGGTAAAATAAGAAAAATAAATATGAAGAATTTCAAATTCTCCCATTTTTCAGAAAATTTTAAATTCTACTATTTTAAAGAATTTTACCAATACTTAAATTTCAAATTTTTTTTATAAATTCCTCAATTAAACAAAATATTTCACCTTAAAAAATTTAAAATTCTTCAAATAAATAAATTATCCTATATAAATTCTTTACTCAAACACACCTTAAGCGTTAAAGATTAGTTAATATTTATGATCAGAAATCATCGACAAATGTGTAATATACTTTTAACATCGGTCATGCATTGACCGATGTTAAAAGTTCCACTTTTTAAAATCGACTCTTTTAAAATCGGTTCTCGAACCGATTTTAAAAGTAAAAAATAACCGATTTTAAAAGTCTTTTTTTCACTAGTGAAATTAACATTTTTTTCAATATTTATAAATTTAATTAAAGGACATATAATATAAATTTTTCCTTCAACTTCAAGACTACAAAACAAAATTATTAAATTATAAATTACTAAAAATACTTCTCTTTCAATGAAAATTAATACTAATAGTCCTTTAATTACATAAAATTATAATAATCCTTAAGCATCACTACACACACATTAATAGTTCTTCAATAATAAGAGTATAGCACAACTCACTTTAGTAAGTCCACAAAGTAAATAGAAGCAAAACTACAATGAGAGCTTTTGGAGTTGAATTTGGAAACCTTAACCTTCTCACACATGCCATAACTTATAAAAAATTAAAAATAATATTTAAAAACTAAATGGGCTGGTAGGTCAATCTATCTTGTCCCGTCATTTAACCTGATAGGACAAATTAATAAGTTGAAATGTCTATCTTGTCGTGCCAAATTTTGAATGAACTGATATCAGTTCATTAGGATCCACCTACTTTGCCACACATAACTAATAATTCTATTTTAATAAAGTTTAATTCTTACAAAGAAAAAAAAAATAAAAGATAAGTCTCTTCTAAAAATGACTAATCTAACTTTTAGGTGTAAGTTAATAATTTATAAAATTGGAAAAAAAAAACTATATTATCGTAGTTTTATAATTATGAATTTAAACTATAATTAAAATGTCTATCAGAATCTTTTCTTAATTATATATTATTAACTTCTCGCTGGGATACTCGGAGTTGAACAAGAAATTTTTTGCTTAATTAGCTTTTTTGTAAAATCTTTTGCAGATTATTGACTTACCTAATTAAGGAAATATATGGGAGGAAAGACAAAAGGATGTAGCTATATTAGGAAACAGAAGAATATCATGTGAAATATCATTGCATAAGCGTAATATCTTAGGGATATAATATATCCGATGTATTAAAACTACTTTCGTTTGTTTGTTTTTTTTTTTTTTTTCTTCATGGCAAGCTAGCTAGTATCCATGGTGGTAGCTGCTTTTCCAGACAGTACCGATATAAAACATTTAATTGATATTTTTTTTCATTTTTTTATTCATAGTACATATTAAATATATATTTCTATTTTTTTTTAATTATAGATTCAATTAAATTTCTTGACTCAAAAGTTGTAACCTTGTCTGGAGACATTGGAATCAACTTGGTGTGCAAATGTTTGATTTCTATTTGTTATAATAATGTTTGACTAACTGAAACTACCTTGTGTTGTGTGAGTATAGGTAAATCCTTTGTTGTTAATTTTGGAACATTGTGTGACCATTGCATGTTTGGGAAAAAAAAATAGAATACGTAGAAGGCATGGAGGTACTGCGAAGATGGTGAATGATGGTCGTGGCTTTGGTTTTGATGAAGATGGGAGACAAAAATATACTCTGGTTCACAACCAAAGCTTGGTGTTGTTGCAAGTGCTAAACATTTTTGGGACCAGGGTGTTTTATGCAAAACTTGGGTATTTGATTAAAGATAGTGATCCTTGTTTGACAGGGTTTAATTCATGGTTGGCATGAAGGCTTTGGAAGTAGCGATCTAGTTTGTTAGCTGCGTTGTTTTCTAACTTTGCTGCACTATATAGATTATCCTTTTTATTGTGTTCCTAATCCTACTGTAGCTACAAGACTACGGATGCAGAGACATGTTGATAGAGCCCTCGAGAGCATCATCCCAAGCACATGATTTATGGCTGTGGTTACACATTCGAAAAATCAACGCACCATAGAATTTTTTTAACAAGCAGACTTTAATTTAGTTTGCTTTCTGTAACAAGAATTTACGTAGAATAATAGTAAACTGAGATCACTGCAGCAAAATTCAGCAACATTGGAAATGGAAATAAAGTAGAACTAGAAATAAGTGTGGAATAGCAACACACTGTCTAAGTTGATCACAAGTAGAATACAGCAGGGCAAGGGAAGTAAATTAAGAAAAAGAAAAATGTAACACAGCAGAAAAGTAGTATATAGTATATAGATGTTTGGATTAGGGTAGATAAAGAAGCAGCAGAGGTGGTTTCATTTCCTAGATCTCAAGTTGGGCCTGGAAGGGTTGGGAGTAGCAGTCTTGCGGTTATTGGGGGTCAAATTGGGCTTTTTCTTCTTCAAGGCCTCAGGGGTCTTGACCTGACTCAAACGCTTCACAGATTTCTTCTTGTTGGGGGCTTTCTTCTTGAGGGCTTCGGGCGTCTTCACTTGACTCAGCCTCTTGGTCTTCTCAGGCGCGGTTTCGGTTTGTTTGTCCTTGGGTGAAGAAGAAAGCTTGTACGAGTTTTTAACCTTAAAGAGCTTCTCCGATTTCACCAACTTCTTCAACTGGAGGGAGAGAAGCTTCCTGAAGTTGGAAGGAAGCACTTTGCTGTGCTTCTCCTCGATGAACTTCGCTATGGCTGGCTGGCTCGAACCCGTGCGTTCTTTTAACGACGCTATTGCATCCGCGATCATCTGAAAAAGAAAAAAAACGTTACTAAATGAAAATCCTCTAATTAAAATAGGATGGATAGAGATAGATACGTCGAAGTAAGGAGGGTGGAGCGCGGTGGAGGTGGAGGTGGAGGTGTTCTTTGCATTTGCTTTTGCCATCATCGGGTTCGGGCGTGAGAGAGAACAAAATATCTTAGGGCGCGATGTTGCAAAGGATAGAGATAAAGTAAAGTCCTCTGTGTGATGTAATGTTATTGTTAATGTGTGCTGCTGTTACTCTTTTGACCCTGGTTAACCGATGGAAACGAAACTGCTTTTGCCACGTGTCAGTGCCACAAAATAAAATTTCTCTATATTAATTTAGAACCGTCAAAACTTGGTTTGAATTTCAATTTTTCAATTACATTTTGGCGGCTTACTATTGCTGGCTTTGTTGGGCTACTATCAATAATATAAGTGGGCGGTTCCGCAACTTACCTTCTTCCCACTCCTTCCATTTTTTTTGGAACTTGCAACTTTTACACCATGATAATCAATTTATTATTTATTAATTTTAATATTAAATGTTTTTCAAAATAATTCATAATAATTATTGTATATAACTAATGAGAGAGAAATATTACATGTCTCTATTATTTAAAAAATAAAAATATGATTATTAATTAGTTAAAGATTTATAAAAAGTAAAAAAAAAATAGTGGAAGAGAGATAAAGGAGTGATTTGAAAGTTGTTATAAGTAAAAAATTGTCAAAAAATTGTGTAAAATCTGATTATCACTTTTATATGTGTTACAAATATAATGTAATGTTATAATTTAGATAAAATATGAAAATAACTTTACAATTTAAATAATAAATTTGATGGTGAGAATATGAGTTTTAATTTTTAACTACTTTATTTTATTTTAGATTTTATATTTTCTTATCATATTTACACCAAATTATTAGTTCATATTAGTATCACATCAATATGTCAATGTCATATAAAGATAGATTAAAATAGAATAATTAATAAAATTAACCATTAAAGAGATCAAAATTTCAACTTAACCTTTTTAAAATAATACTCATTTTTTAAATTATATTATTAATATGTAATATCTATTAATTTTGTTGTTGATTAATATTTGTTAGAAGATTTAACGATCACTTTTAATTGAGTTTTCTCTTTAACTAAGTAATTTTTTTTTGCAAGATTTTAACTTAAAATTTTACTTGAAGAGAATCAAGTTTAATTTTAGTTGAACTTAAGAATTGTACACAGAAAAAAATACTTTATCCAACTCATTTTATTTCAAATATTATATAAAATTTAAAATGTTAATTATATACCAATATTATGTGATAAAAGGTTTGATCGTTCAATTTCCATGTCCGTGTGTACAGAAGAGACGTACATTTTCATAATCACTTTCCAAAAAAAAAAAAAATTACATACCTTGAACACACATTCTCTCTTCATTATTGATTTTGAATTGTTAAACTCTTCTATCAATGGTTTAATCCTTATTCCGAAACAAGATTGAAAAATTCAGCAAATAAAAATTTATGTTAGCTGCTCTTGATTCTTTTGGAGGTTAAAAACATTGAATTTAAAAATAAAATATAAGAATGTCAATTATTGAGTAAATAATTACTTTACTCTACGAGTCGATGGATATGGCGCACACTAGTCATTGAATTTAACGAAATTTCAAGAAAACGACGTCCTTGAAGTATTTCATTTCACCTAATTATTTATTAGTCTATAAATTTAACCATTTACTTTTATTTCAATCTTTAAACATATGTTTAAATTACTTTAAGTCACACATGTTAAATTAATGTAAGTGTGTCAGAACAGCAATTTTGAACTATCTTAAAATAATCTTTGATTTAGTGACTAATGTAGTAACCCTCACCAGTTTCAAATTTCAATACCAAATTGACTTGTAGTCTTGATAATCATAACCTCTCACTTTATTATCAAAATAATTTTTCTTTAATACTAAAGAAAATCACACTACTTATTGGTTAAATAAACTCTTATCGTAGCAGAAGGATAGAACAAGTAGAAAATAAGAACCCGTCCAAAGGACAAAATTGAGAGGCATACGTGGACCTGAATATGTATAATGTATGTGCATAAGGTTAGTTTTCTATCACAAAGACACAAAACCACGTATTCTTCGGTCCCTTTCATATTCCAAGCTCCATACATTTCCCCCACTTTTATCGCTTCCAATCCATATCCAACAAAACAATTCTTACAAACAAACAAACGGAAATTTAAAAATAAAATTATAGTTTTAAAATAATAGTTTTAGAATGTGTATGGAAGAAAAATTTAAATAGAAGAATTTATTTATTTGAAGAATTTAAATTTTTTTTAAGGTGAAATATTTTGTTTGGATAGTAAATTTATAAATAATTTAAAATTTAAATTTTTGTGAAATTTTTTAAAAGTAAAATTTTAATTTTTTTAAAAAGTAAGAATTTGAAAATTTTCTTATTTTTTTTATTTTACTTATATATTTTATCTTATCTTTTATTTCTTTGTACTTTTAATTATTAAATATTTAAGAATATTTTTTTAAAATTAATAAAGATTATCTAATATTAATTTTTAAAATTATTAAATATTTTAAAATTGGCTAATATTTTTTTTTATGAAATTTAATTTAAAAATCTAATATTTTTAAAATCAATTTTATCATGATGAATTAAATTATCATATCCAAATCAATAATTTAAAATTTTGAGAATTTAAATTGATTTATCCAAAAAAAATATTTTAAGAGTAATAACAATTAAAATCAAAGTAATTTAAATATCAAGAATTTTAAATATCTTGAATTTTTAAAATTTTTCATCCAAACAAACTATTAGAAATATTAATTGAAGAATTTCTCCGGTGGAAAAAGTTACTATGAACTAAAATAAGAAACATTTTTTTTATTGTTTAAAATTAAATAAAAATGTTTTGTTTATTATAAGTGTGAAATATTTACCCAATTTTATTAAATATCTTTTTTTATCCACAAGTTCAAATTTGAAACATTATTTAAGAAAAAATGTCTCGATCTATTGGAGTCATGCTGTATTCCTAATGTTGATAATAAAAAAATAAACAAAGAAGATTTGAACAATAGTGATCATTCATTTACATTCGCGTACTTTTGTGTAATTAAAACTCCTTTCTTAATTATTGTTAATTAAGCAATTTCGTTTTGAAAAAGTAAAAAAAAAAAAAAAAAAACTGAAATGGAATAGTAAAATGAAATGCATTTTAATAATAGGATAAAAAATTAATAATTTGTATTTTGGTTCACCACATATATATATATATATATTTATTCTTTTTTATCTTTGAATTTGGAGAAGGAATAAAAAGAAACAAAGAAGATGGCGTCACTGTAGAATTAAACATAGATATGAATCAATGAACAAGTTGCACCAACATTTATTCGATAGTTAATTCAACATTAATCAAGGAGACGAAGCTAAACAACAATTGACACTTGACCGAAATTAATCTCATGCTTAATTTCTACGACGAGCTAAGCTAGCTACTTCTCTCTCTCTCTATCTCTCTTCATCTCATGAAAAATATGAGTCCACCACTACAGTGGCTGAAGTAATATAATTATTAAGACAGAGGAGAAGAATTACCGAAACAATGCTTATCAAATGAACAAGTAAAAGAAGGGAAGGCAAAGAAGGGCTACATAAGTCAAAGACTGCAACGGCACCATCTTCGCACCGTTGTCATAGTCATCATCAAACGAAGGAAACGTCGTTCCCGGTGGAAAGTAGGAACCCGGCGGGTACGGAGGGCCAGGGCGTGGTGGTCCCGGTGGGTAGCGCGGTTGTTCCGGTGCCCAAGGCGCAGGGGGCACTAGTGATGGCAAGCATGCACCGTCATCACACGGTGGTTTTGGCGGCGGAAGCGTTTCCTCGCATGGGCCGCATGTTGGTTTTGGCGGAGGCGGACATTCCACAACCGCCGGTGGTGGTGGTGACGGTGGTGGCGGTGGCGGTGACGGTGGTGGTGGACACTCTATAACTAGGGGGGGTGGTGGAGGTGGAAGCTCGGGTGGATAGCATGGATTCTCGCACTCCGAACACATTGTGCATGGAACTTGGTCTTTTGCCGCCACTGTTGAGGTGGTGGCTGAAACAGTGGCGGATATTGATATTAGGAGCAAAGTAAAGGTGAACAGAAGAGGCAAGTGAGCCATGTTTTTGAGTTTGTTAAAGAGGGATATTGAAGTTGAAGGCAGAACAATGAGAAATAAAAGTAAAGAGAGCGGTGATATATGCTCGTGTATTGATGGCCGCACCTTTGTCGGTGTTTTATCTTCTTCGATATCGTCTCATTATCGTTTAAACTTTAAACAGTTAAAATTTATACAAGTAATTTTAATCAACTATTTGTTTCCGGTAGGTAATATATCTATAGCAAGAGATCCATGGACAAAAACTAGCTAATTTCATACATGTCTATCTTGGTTTAAAAAATATGCATATACATCGTGTTCAATCTTTATCACGTGCAATTCTAGATAATTCGAAAATGTACAAAAATTTATGCAGCAGCTCTTGCTAGCTAGCTAGGTGTGTATGTCATTGAGTAAACAAAATAAATTGAGGAAAAAGGACAAAGAAAATGCTATTAGCTAGAGATTTAAGGCAACGTAACAAATTAGTGAATTATGTATAAAAAAATTAACATGACAGTACATATTTAATTACATTAATAGATGTATGCTGCTTTTGTGAAAATACTTTAATTCCTTAAGCGGTAATTAAAAATATACTGTCTTTCAACAGGGTATATTTAAAATTTTTCTTTTAATTTTGCCAGGCTTTTCATTTGTTGGAAAAGTTATATATAGTATATTATCTTAAAGTATTTTCTTTTTTAATCTTTTAATTTTCAATGTTTAGAATATTTAGCCACACATCCTCATGAGTCATGAAGGATTATATATAAATGAATGTTTTATATTAAAATGTTTGCCCAAATAGACATGAACTTATTACTTTAAATAAAAATTTTTATGGATAGAAAAATTGTAATTAGAAGGAGATATTCAAATATACTATAGATGATTAATTAAAAAAAATGTTATTAACATCAATATTATGATTAAAAAATTGCAAAATAAATAATTATGTTTTTTTTATAAAGATTATTATGGAGACCAATGACATGGCTAATAAGGAGAATTTACAAAATATTTTTATAATATATTTTCAAAATACATTACAAAAATTAATTTAATTATATAATTTAGTTATGTTCAAATCTATCGTGAAAACTAGTTTTTGTAATGTATTTGGACATATCTGACGTAATTTACAATATACATTATAAAAAACTAATTTTTATAATGTATTCATGCATTAAGGAAATTAATTTCCGTTAAATCGGTATCATGCTGAAAAATAACAAATGAAACACAAGTAAAAAAAAGGGTAATGGAAGACAAAGAATAATAGAGAAAGTGAGAATATGACGGGTGGAAATATATATTTGAAGATAATGAGGGGGGTGGGGTTCAAGGCGGAAGTAATTTAAGAATTTAAATGAAATAATTTATTTATTTGAAGAATTTTAAAATTTTTGAAATAAAATATTTTGTTTAGACGAAAAATTTATAAAGAATTTAAAATTTAAGTATTTGTAAAAAATTTTGAAATAGTAAAATTTCAAATTCTCTTAAAAAAGTAAGAATTTGAAATTTCTCATATTTTTTTCTTCTTTTTTCACTTATATATTTTATCTTATCTCTTATCTCTTCATATTTTTAATTATTGAATATTTAAAATTATTAAATATGATCTAATATTAATTTTTAAAATTATTAAATATTTAAAAATTAATTAATATTTATTTTTATAAAATTTAGTTTAAAAGTCTCAACATATAAATATATTTTTAAAATCAATTTTATCATGATAGAATCGAATTATATATTTAATCTAATAATTTAAAATTTAAATTTGAATTGATTTATCCAAACAAAATATTTTAAGAATGATAGAAATTAAAATTAATAATTCAAAATACTAAAAATTTAATTTTTTTTTGAATTTATAAAATTCCTAAACACGCCATTAAAGATTTTAGAATATTGTCGGAGAATAAAAAGTAAAGAAAGGGGTGCAAATAGCAATCCTGTATTGTTTTTAGCCCATGCACTAGAAGCAAACGTATTTGATATACAATTTTTAGATCCGCAGGACTCATTTGATAGACTATTAAAATTCTTAGACGGGCTTGCTTGAAACCAAGTTAATTTTTTTTCTATGGTCTTCTTGATTATAACTGTAGATCAAGTTAAAAAAGAAGAATAAATTGACATATATATAATAAGCTTAATTGCAGTTTTATCCCTCAAGTACTGTAATTGTGCAAAGTTTTAATTGGATAATTTTAGTCTCTAAAAGATTGAAGTTGTGCAATTTTAGTCTTTCAATTTTTAATTGAACAATTTTAATCCTCAAATATAATAATTGTGCGATTTTAATCTCTGCCATCAAAAATTTAATAATTTTAAAATTTTAATATATATATATATATATAATATTTTAAAATTATACAATTATTTGCTTATTTAGGTTAACGCATATTGTAATTTTTGTTAATGTAACAAATAATATATA